ATGTAATAACGTCCACAAAGGAGGAAGCACCTTGAGTCCTGCAGATCGGCTCAGATTGATGCCACTCCAGCAGCTCGTACAAGGTGAGATAAGAGCAGCCAGAGCTCCACGCCCGGCCTTATCCGACCGCTCCCTTCCTGGGCGGCAGCCATGATGGATATCGCCGCTCAGCAACAGCCGCCGTCCAGCTACAACCTGCTCTTCCTCTCCGTGAATAATCTCCACCACAAATTGGGTTTGTCGGCAATTTATGTGGACAAACCGGGCCTGCGACGTCTCTGGACTGTAAATCTACTGCAAATACACGAATGGAGATTGAAGATAGGAGACGCTGGAGATCGTCTCCTGAATTTGCAGTTAAATGATTGAAACCAACTTTAAACAGAGAAACAGCTGCTCCGGTTCTGTCCACGGGCAGCAGAACCGGCCGTCCACAGACGACTGGTTCACGTGTTAGAACGTGTTTGAATGCATTCCTATAATTAATAAATGGAACGCTGTGGTTTCATATGTAGCACTTAATCCAACTCTAAGCTAATTAATAAATGCTTGAAACTATTTCTTTACGACTCTAAGGCATCCAGAAGAGATGTCGTTCCTCCGTTAGCTTTTCTAGGATCACAATTTAAAAAATAATAATAATATTTGCAAGTTAGGGAATGTAAACGTCTCCTCTTGGAGATAAAGTGATGTTTTATCTTCAGCCCTTTTTGTCGATTTGTTTATTTATTATTATTGTTTTGTTGTTGCCGACTCTGTAAAGCATCTTTGAGTATCTTGGAAAATCATCAATCATTATCATCTGAACCCCAAAAACCAGCAGCAGGTTAAAGGTCACGTTAAAATGCTAGAATTAAAAAATATAAAAACAGAGAGAATTGTTGGATTTTCAGCTTTCTGATGGTTCTCTGATGGTTCTACTTGTGCTGCGAAATTTAACCAAATCTTAACCGTAAATCTACATATTTCATCAAAGTTGCTGAATTCTATGTGTCTCACTTAAAAAATAGAAGAGTTTTGTTGAAAGCAGATTCTGTAAAATAAAATTTTAAATAAACTATGTGCATCAGTTTAAGTGACTCGACTGCAACCACGAGTCATGTGACAAAATCATTCAGGCGCTCGTGACTGAACTCGGCTGAACTGCAGGCTGTGTGCTCACATGCTGTTTATTCTCATTCATGTGAAACAGATAATCATATCATGACATTTTTTGTGATTTATGGAGATTTAAGGGCTTTTTTTTTGATACTGTTTCGAGTTTTGTCTGCTTCTAGTCATGGTTGTTCTGTTTCAGAGCTGCAGGAGCCACACTGAGTAAAAATGAGACAAGATAAATAAAAAAACCAACAATTATAAACTTGTCGGGGTTCAAAAGGTTAAAGAAACAACTTTTGCTAAATGCACTATTGAGTATAAACTGATCCTTAAAAATACCTGAATTATTTAACCAAAGTTCCCTAGTTTTAGTTTGGAAAAATGACCAAAACTATGAATCAATTACAAAAATAGCTGCACTAAAAACATTGCGCTATAGCTAGCAGCTGGTTAGCTTAGCAGTAGCTTCGCCTAAAACAAACAAGACAAACAGCGAGCTTGTTTTTACACAAGTAGTTCACATATTATATCTTGTTTGTTTGGTTACTAATAAAAACCAAAGTGTCAGAAAGACAAGCTGTGGGTTTATGTTAAATATTTGTTTTGATGCTAGGCTAAGCTAACTAGCCGTAGCTTCATATTTGAGCCTTCTGGAGCTTCTCGTCTAATTCTGGAAGTTATTCCATCATAAGTATATAAAATACAACTAATATTATATCATATAAAGACACGTATGATCCGTCTCTCACTGGATATTTGATCTTTTTTATGTGCAAATGATCATATTTTCATTTTTCAGCTTTAATATTTCACACGCAGCATTTCATTTTTCAGCTGCAGTATTTCATTATTATTATGTGACATTTGTTGCTCCCTCAGCTTCACTGTTCATTTCCAGCCTTGTTTTACTTTTTAAACATTTCACTCATGTGTTGTGCTAATCATATCTGATCACTTTTCTACTTTTTCACATGTCGTTTGTTTTTTTCACAAGAATGTCCTTCGGCGTTGATAAAGCTTCATCATTTCTTAAACTGTGCAGAATGTTTCTCTTCCTGATGGGGGAGTTCAGTATTTTTCATTCTGTGCTTCTCACAACAGCCTGTTTTATTGGACGTCCGACCATCTTCTGTGAACACCAGCAAGGTTTAGGAGCCTTGTTGCACCTCAGCTGTTCTTAAAGTATTTATCCGTCTATCTGGGTCGCAGCTCATATCACAAGTTGTCCTGAAAAAGCCCAATTTTGCTTTTTCTGTTATTGCCTGTGCTGTTTTTAAATCCAGCCCTTTCATCTCTGAGTTCATCCCGGAGGCTTGAGGATGAAAGGCCGGAGGATGGAGGGATGCTGCTGCAGGAACGAAGCCCGTCTTCGCCACATGCCTTCGCCCTCGGCTTCCCCTCCGTCCTCCCCCGCCTCGGCCGCCGATCTCCCGCCCGCCGTCCCTCGGCCTATTCATCGGGCCGTCGCTCTATCAATGAGCCTTTCACAGAGCTCCCTGTGAGGAATGCTGCCTCGTGTTCGCGGAGGTCTCGAGACCGTCGCAGCAACAGATCAGCGTTTCTCCTGCAGTCACAACAGGACACGGATCTCCCTGCAGGATTAGTGGGTCAGAATCAGGACTTAACCCGAGTCAGAGGGTCACGGCTTCACTCTGAACCTGCTGCAGAGCTAACGCTAACCCACCGTCGACTGCTAACAACACATAAATATAAATAAAGCTTCAGCGAGAATCCAGAAGGTCAAAGATCAGAGCTCCAGTCGCTCTAGTTTCCTCTTTTACTTTCATTTTTCTCTGATTTTTTCGTCTGGTACGTACAGGTCTGTAGTCGATGTTCACAACTTCCTTTCTTTTCTGCTCATGTTGCGTCCTGTTGTGTTGTCGTATCTCTTTTCTTTTGTGTCTCTTTGCAGTGACTTCACGTCTATTTCTGCTGACTGTGCTCCGCTTGCAGGCCTCTGTGGTCGTTTTGTGACTCTTTGCACAACGTTTTCAGAAGAAGTTGCTTCTTTTTCTGCTCCTTTTGCGTCCTGTTGTGTTGTTTCATGTCTCTGCAGTGTTTTTGTGTCTATTTGTGTACACTGTGGTTCGCTTGCAGGCCTCGATGGTCTTTTTGTGTCCCTTTGCGGTGCTTTTGTGTCTATTTCTGCTATTTGTGGTGTGTTTGCATGTCTCTGTGGTCGTGTTGCGTCTCTTTGTCGTCGATTTTCAGAGTTCTCCTGTTTTTCTGCTCGTTTTGCGTCCTGCTGTTTTGTGCGTTGGTGCTTTTGTGTCTGTTTCTGTTGATTGTGGTCTGTTTGTGTCTTTTTGCAGCATATTTTCTTCCTTTTCTGCTCATTATGCACGTCGTTGTGTTGCTGTATCTCATCTTCCTGCCTGTCTTTGTGGTCTTTTTGTGCCTCTTTGCAGACTTTGTGTATCAGTGGGTTATTTTTGCATCTCTTTGTGGTCGACTTGTTTGTGTTAAACCATCAGTTCAATCTGCACAGACCAGCGTTTGTCTTCCTGCTCACAGGTCAGAGGACGACGGAGGACGAGAACCGCTTCCATTAAAGTAAATCAGATGAAGAAAACCAGAATATTTGATCACGTTTAACTTTTCATGAGTTCATCGACTGATGTGATGAAATAAAATAAAAATCACTCAAGATGATGTCGAGTTCTATGAAGTTAACTCAAGTTTATATTTTCTCTTATAACTCCAAAAATCATTTCAGAACTTCTTTGTTTCAGGATTTTAATAAACAACTACGTCCACGATGCTTCTAGTCTATATTTACAGATTTAACCATCTGATGTAGTGACTGATAGAATTCTAACATTTAATTTTATTTTTATCTGTCCGTTTAAATTCCCGCCTCCACAGTCGAGCTGCTGCGTTAAACTTCAGTGTTTCTTTAATCACATTTATTCTCGGAGCGCTTCGACCTGGTTTCATCAGACAACCTTCAGGTCGTTGACTTTGTTCAGAGCAGCTGCAGGAATCAGGTTTCTGTTCAAACGCACCTCAAAGTTTAAATAAATTTACACTAAAAAAAAGCCAAATAATACAAGTTTCCAGCCGCTGCTGCAAAACACCGTTTATCTTCATGAACTCATTAATTACAGTTTGTTTCTTTGATTGTCTCGATGATCAAACGTCTTGATGAATCAGTTTTGTTCTTTTAAATCACGTCTTTAAATCCATTTTTTATGGGCTTGTTTTTATGTCATGTCATCTTTTCCTCTTTTTATTACTATTTCTTATCATCTAATTGATTTTTTTTTAACTTTATTGTTAATTTTTTCCCTTTTAATCTTCATTTATTGACTTCTTTACATATTTGTTTAATCTATTTACTATCAATCCTCATATTATCATTTCTAACCTTGTGTTTATGGTTTCACATTTTATTTTTCTGTTATTTCACTTGTTCTTTCTTTAACTGAGTTGTGGCTTCTTATTACTTTATCTGGTGTTGTTGTATTGATTTATTTTGAAAATCTTTTACTTTTAATGTTCTTCCTGAGTTTCCTTCTTTTCTTTTATTTGTCCTGCTGGTAAAACACTTTTGAACTCTGTTTTTAAAAAGGTTTCACGTAAATAAAGTTACTTTCATTATTACAAAACCCCTAAAATATCCAAAACATTCAGTAAAATTTCACTGCTTTTGGTTGTAAAGTTCCTAAAACTGTTGATCAACTCTCAGAACAGCTCCGATCGCTGCAGAGGAACAGAGTCGAACACGACGACGTCAGACCTCCATCAGAAGTAAAACCACAAAGAAATCAGCATGAAAACTTGACATTTGTTTCATAGCATCAGAGACGAATCATCCGTCGCTGCAGCTTCGTCATCATTTAACCAGAATGTGTTTTTATTTATCAACACGTCAGCAAAATCCAAAAAATGAAACTTCTTACCTTCGCCTCGCACTTCCTGTGGGCGGCCGTCTTACATACTGGACGGGAAGGAGAAGAAAACAGCGTCCAGTTATTCAGATCAACGTGTAAATTAACTGTTCACATATGAAATAATAAGCTTTTACAACTCAGACACACATCAGAGGGTCAGTCTGCTGCATTACTGTGACATTAAACTCTTTACCTCCTAAAAAATCTCAACATTTTTAAAAAAGCAACAACTTTGCTGCACAACATCTGGAACATGGAGAATGTTCAGATGCTAACAGAAACCACTTTAACATATTTTAAATCATAAAAACTGAAACAGATCACATGCAAATATTACGCAAAAAGCTGGAATTGGTCATTTTTCTTCATAGATTTCCTGCTCGGTGCACAAAACAACGGTTATGATAAGTTGTGTGCTTCCTTCAGAGCAGTTAAACCATAAAAATCAAAAGTAAATCAGCTGTTTCTGTTGTATTCTAAACTGTAGTTGCGTATAGATTCAGAGAGCTCCGTCCACACCAGTCAATGTGACGTGTTTCTTACTTTTTGGCAATAAAGCAGTAATCCTCTAAGCACATTCACAAAATCAGACATTTATATAAAATTAAAAAATGTCAAAAAGTACAGTAAGAAATGTGCAAATAGAAAATATACAAATCTAGCAAAAAATAAAAAAAAATAAAAATCTATGAAAACAGTAAAATAGCTCATTTGATGCATTATTAACTATAAAACAGTCGCTGATGTTGCAGCTCTGCAAGTTGTTTTGTTTTGTTTTTATTATTAAACTTCATTCCTTAAACGTTTGCACCATCTTTGCTGCTGTAACGCTGCACGTTTCACACAGTGGGTTTAATAAAGAGTTATCTTATATTGCTAAATATCCGAAAACGTAACTAAAGTCTTGCAAAAATGACGTACAAGGTGAGACAAAAGGTGCAAAAGGTGGAGATAGCAGCAGATTCAACAGTGAGTGGATGAAGTGAAACCGTGTGCAGCATCATCTCACCTCTGCAGAAGGAGCCCACGTTGTCGACGTTCTGCCGACAGACGCTGCACTGGCGCTTCTTCTTGAAGGTCTTCTCCTTGAAGACGTGAGGTTCCCCCTTCCCGGCCTGCAAACACACACAAGCAGCGGCGAGTCAGAAACCCGATCAGCGACCAGACGTCTGGACCGACGATAAACGTCTGACAGCCAAAGAAAGGAGAGAAAAGGTCGACACAAAGGAGGAGAGATAAGACCTGGGAGGGCTGCTTCTGCAGTTTGCTGTTCTTCTGCTGACGTTTGACTCGTTGCACGACTTTAACGTCCTCATTCACAGGATGTGTTGCTCTTTATTGTGCAGCATATGTTTCTTATTGATTAGCATTGTGTTAGTGTCACTTCACTGTAATCAATAGAGTTGAGTTTCTGTTTTCTAAGTGGAGCAGTGACAGGAGCTTTGACCTGCAGTGATTTCCACACATCCAGGATATCTTTCACTTATCAGGCTTCACTAAAACCAAACACGAGCAGGTCTGCTGGCACCAGACGACACATTCAACACACAAAAGAGCAAAATACAGCATAAAAACTCACAATACAGCCTGAAAGCTGCACCGGCTGGTCGACACCAGATTATTAAAACACGAGTAGATCAGACTATAAATGCTTCCATATTTTATTAAATGAACATGTTGATGAGCTGTATGCTTCAGTTTTGCTGCTTCAGCTGCACAGACAGACAGTCTGAGTAAAAAATAACCATAAAAACATGATTTTAAGCTATAAGTTGACTCTCCTGTGTGTGTTTATAACTTCATAAATCTCCAACAAGAAGAACAAACTAGAATCCTGAACCAACACCAGGAGTTTTAAACAGAATACAGTCTAAAAAGTCACAAAGAAAAGCTGCAAAACAGCATGAAAGCGTCATTAATTTGCTTTCCAGTGTCACTGTGAGTTGCTCTAAGATTCAAGAGTCAGTTTAATTTGTCATCATGCATCACGAGAGGTCAGATCTTTGTATGAAACTCACAGAAACACAAATGATTTAATACATAATGCAGCACTTTTAGTTTTATTCTTTCAGCTTGAACGGCTTCTGGAGCAAGTAAAGAACAAACAACCAGGCTTCAGTGTTTCTGCAGACAGAACGACGACATCGCCTTCAAACCCTCACGTCTTCCCTCCCAGAGAGCCGATTGGTTCTAAGTAACCACGGAGACGCACCCCGGTAAGATCCAAACCCAGAGTTAACCTCAAATCCTGCTTCGTTAGTGCTACAGTTGTTTTGTCTTTTTTACTCCTTTCGCCTGTTGAACTTGTGCTCCGGTTGTGTAACTGTCTTCCAGTAATAATCCTGGAGGTTCCCGCCCAGACCCGCTCTAATCCGGACTGTGTGCTGCTGTGCAGACATGTGAGAAAGAGGCCGGCGTCTTCAACCGGTTCCTACAAGACAGCGAGGCCGGAGAGCTCTTCTGTCTCATGTTCACCAGTCGCTGTGTGTGTTAGCAGTGTGTACATCAGTGTGTACATCAGTGTGTACATCAGTGTGTACATCAGTGTGTACATCAGTGTGTACATCCGTGTGTGTGTGTGTGTGTTTGCGGTAGCCGCTCCCGCCCAGCGCCTCTTTGTTTCCCAACATGGGATCAGATCCGCAGATGACTGGGCTTTGACGTGACTTTGAACACGAGAACGTTAGCGACCACCGGCTGAGCAGGAGAACCGCGGAGCATGTTCTCATGGCAGCAAAGAGAAGAGGGGAGGAGGAACCGACATGTGCGACGTCACGCTGGAGGCCTGGAAGCAGCATCTGGGACGGATCGTGCTCCTCTGGTCGCTTATCTGGGAGCAAATATGAACCCAAACGTCAGCGCTGGACGGTTTGGACGATTAGAGCGACTCATGAAGGCCGTTTCTGTTTCCCCTCTGTGTGCTTCCCCTCCTTGGTAACAAAGACAAGGAGGCTGTTTGCACACTTTTTCCATGATGCCGCTTTTTCTGCCTCCGTTCTGGGGACCGGTCCGTGTTTGGACAGCTGCCGGCAGCTGGCACCGGCCGCCGCCAGCTGCCGGATCGACGGTACAAGTGGAAGCCGGACCGCAGAGCGCTGGATGGTGGAGGTGGACCTGGTGGGTGGCTGAGGGCCTGCAGGCGGTTACGTAATGAGGCAGGCGTCACTGGTGGAAGGGAAGCCGGGATTTTATCTAAGTTCTGCTGGATTCTGATGTTTCTTGTTCACATTTTTTCTGACAAAAACAAACTTAAATCCACATAAACTGGGTTTAAGTTGCATCTTAACTAAATCCTTTACATTAAACACACTCAGATGACTACAGCCGCTCTAATCTATGGAACCGTGCACGTGTCTGTGCACATGTATGATGGTGCAAATGGAGCCAATGGTGAGTTTAAAAAAGGAACCAGTTACTTGTCTTTACTTCTTAAAGCTACGTTGGATTTTCTTTTAGTTCTGCTGGATTCTGACGTTTCTTGTTCACGTTTTTGTGACAAAAACAAACTTAAATCCACATAAACCGGGCTTGAGCTGCATCTTCTCCTATTCCTTTGCCTAAAACACACTCAGTTACTCTGCAGCGACCAAATATGTTAGTTAAAGAGCTCGACACAACTCTTCTTGTGCTGCAAATTCAGCCGATAGTTGATTTAATCTATGAAACTGTGCAGTGATCTTCTGAAGTGCACGTTTCTGTGCACATGTATGATCGTGCACATGAAGCCAACGACGAGGTTACAAAAGGAACCAAGTTGGATTTTCTTTAAATTCTGCTGGATTCTGATGTTTCTTGTTCATTTTTTGCCACAATAACAAACTTAAATCCACAAAAAAAACTGATTTAAGTTCCTCAGCTTGATCCTGTTTTGATGCATCTTTAATTTGAGGCGTCTTTCTTCCTCCAAAACACAACCGAAGCTCTCTGCACTGACGTCCACGGACCAGACGTGTCAGTAAAGGTCCTCAACAAGCACAAAAAACATTTGTAAGACTATTTTTCTGTCTGTACTGAACAACAACCGTGTAAACTGCAGCTTTTTTATGCACATGTGTGCACAAGAAACCAGCCACTTGTCTTTACTTGTGAAAGTTCTGCTGGATTCTGAAGTTTCTGGTTCTCTTTTCCGAACCCAAATCCACAAAAACTTGATTTAAGTTTCATGTTACTTCGGCTTGATCGTATTTGATGGATCCTTGATTTGCTCGACTCCAGAAAACTTTCTGCAAAGTAGTCAAAGAGTTTGGAGCGTGATAAAGAGCATTTTTTAAACTTTTTTTCGTCTTTAGTGCACAATCGAAACTGTGCCACCATCCTGTGAGTTTAAAAAACACAACCAGCTCGTTGTCATCACTTGTGAAAGTTGGGATTTTCTTTACGTTCTGCTGGATTCTGGAGTTTCTTGTTCACTTTTTCCTAATTTGAATCCACATAAACTTGATTTAAGTTTCATGTTACCTCAACTTGATCCTGTTTCTTCTCCTTATTGGACAGATTGAGAAAATTCAAGGTATCCAGTAGCTCACACATGTGACATATAAGAGAAATGAGACGCCAAATGTGCAAAATATTGTGCAAATCAAGTATAAAGTACAGCATAAAAGCAGAAACACCAGTGAAGCTACAGGAGCTGCTCTGGTTGATACTCGCTCAGTCGCTCTGCGGTGACATTTATTCCCACCAACAGACATGTTAGTGTTTTAAAACTCTTCTTCTCCTCAGTCCATAGCATGACACTGTGCCGTAACGCCACACAGCCCACGGTGGGTCTAAAAAAGCAGCCGCTGACTGCCACAGTGGAGGTGTGGGCTGAGAGATAAACATGGAGACGAGGCTGGCAGCATTCTTCCTGCTTCAGACACAATCAAGACCACGATGCAGCCGACCGCAGCACGACTCTGATGGCGGACGCTCCGGAAGACGTGAAGGACCGAAACCGGCACCGATTAAAACAAGCTCAGACTTCAGAGCAGAGAATCTCTGGTCATGGTGCTCTACCGGACTTCTGATGAAGGTGTAAGAGGCTGAACTCAATGTTAGATTTAAAAGAACATAAACCAGTAAAAACAAATAAAAAAGTGTTTAGAATCTCCCCTAAAGTTTCAGCTCCATTCAGAAGAAGCATCAACACCAAGACAAAAGTGGAACCAATAAGTGTCCACAGGTGTCCACAGGTGAACATGTTTGGCTGCAGCCGAGTCTCTGTTGTTTAAGGAGCACAGAATTTTTATTTTTATTTTTTAACAGAATCTGGTTTCTTTTTTCGCGAATTTTTAACCGAGACACGTTTAACACACATTTTGATGAGACACTGATTTTAAGCTAAGATTTGGCTCCTTTAGCAATGAAACTGCACGACTGGTTCACGGACCGCAGAAAAGTAGGAAATCCAACGATTCTCTCTGTTTTTACAGTTTCTGACTCTGATTTTAGGGAACAGGTGGTTATGGTGAGGATACTTTATGCCAACATGGAGGGACATTTAGTTTATTCTGGCCTCCATCATAGAGATAACTTGTGTGTGGCATTATTATTGCTACTAGCATCCCCCCCTTTGTTTTTTTAGTGTAAATCCATGATGTTTGCTAGCCAGAGCTAACAGACCAAGACGGAAAGTTTTGAAAATGAAAATCAAATGCTGAATCCAATTTTTAAAGTTTTCCAGCAATGTGGTATTTTAATAAAGAATGAAACTGTCCATAATGAACCGACTGTGGAAGTATATCTTTATTTAAAAACAAGGCAAGAATAATAAAGTAATTTTGATGAGACACTATGATTTTAAACAAAGATTTGGCTCATTTACCAATGAAACTGCACAAGACTGGTTCACGGACCGCAGAAAAGTAGGAAATCCAACGATTCTTTCCAGAAACCCTTCAAGTGTTACAGAAAACATGCGAACATCTGCAAACCCTCACTGATCGTGTCCTGAAAGTCTCCAGACCAGCGACTGAATGGAGCCTGAGCTGAAGTAGACGATTTAAATGTAATTATTCAGAGTTGATTCGACTCCGGCGCCCATTGACGCAAAGTTATTGGCAGCTATGCTATAAAGGAAACAGGAATATGACCTGCAGCTTAAGGATGCAACAGAGTTAGAGGATCTGTGATC